ATGTCAGGCCCGTGTACCCAGTGTAGACCCAGAAAACATGGCAATGACCTTACCAGTGTGGAGTGGGGGCTTACTGTTTTACCTGTACAAATGAGATCCCCTGCACACTTGGGGGAAATTCTGACTTTCCTCACTCAGAGGTAAGACCCTGACTTCTGACAATCAGAGGAAAAATGACAAGATGGGAAACAGGTAGACACCAACCCTAGACCTCAGAGTTCAGGCTCTTTTTCATTGTCATCAACCAGTGAGTAAAAAAAAAAAACCTAAAATCCCATATTGCAAATGTGCTGTGGAGAGTGGCTGCTGCTTACTGCATTACTGAATCAACTCTGTGCACACTGCTGTTACTCTGGGCTTGGATGGCATTCATTTTGCTAACTGCTGGCTTGGCCCTGCCCTTCCAGCAGCTGCTTTCACCATCTGTGGTGTGTTCTAGTCATTTGAGTGTATTTGTCCCTACTTCAGGGCTCTGGTTGGGAAACCAACTGAAAATACTACTAAAATTAGATGCTATGTTTTATTTTACAGTCCAGACGTGTGGGGACTGGCTCACAGTTTCTTAGGATCTCTTATCAAGCTGTTGGCTCTGATAGGGGATGCTGAAGGCCTTCCCAGAGGTGGGGCATGGTAAGAACAGCTGCAGAGCTGAGAGAACTAGATACGTACTTAAGAGTTCATGGGCGTTTTCAAGGGCATTGATAACAGATGATAACCTAGAGTTGGAGTATGGCCACTGTAGCTAACCTGGTCACCCCTCGCCAGGGGCACTGTCACTTTGGACCTAAGGTTGTTCTTTCTCCTTTTGCCTCTTACTTTTCCTTCCTGCTTCTCTTTTCTTCTTCTACCTCTTGACTTAACACTCCCCTCTCCAAAATTTTCTCTGTTAACCAGTTAAAATACAAGGCTGCATAACTTAATAAATTCTGTGTTTCTGGTAATATTTTTAATAGTGCCTGGGTTAAACTTTGTTTGCTCTAAACATAAAAATGCAAAATGAAATGAATCTCACTTGATATTTTGCTTGTATGTATTTCAGTTGCTTTTTCTCATGGATGAGGCCCTCACATTAGAAAACAAAACATTTCACTGCCATGGTTATAGGTAAAGTGTTCCGTCCCTAGTCAATATTGTCTATAGGGGCTCGGAATGATAAGAATCAAAGGTCTCTTCTTACCTGTTTCTTATAAGATCTGGATACGTTTTTACCAAGTAGTCGGAAATGTTCCTGTTCGTAAGGTTTTGTAGGATTTCAGTGCTGCGCTGTATTCTCTGAGGCAATGAGACTAACATTAATCACTTTGGAATTTGAGATCTTAAAAGTTTGTGAAACTGCTCTTCTTCTCCAAAAATTATTTATGGACTCAGATGCTAAGGAAAATATTAGATAAAGCACTGAAGCTACCCTAGTTTCCATATCAATCATGGGGT